CTGGAATGTTTTTCTGCTAGGATCGTTTCTCTTGATTTGTCTGTCATCACCACAGTCTCAGGATTTCTTCCTTGTCTCTAATAAAAAGGAAGACACAAATTGTCTAATCAACACATTCCTCCACCCAATGAAACGCTCTCATCTGACCAGTGTCTTTCTTGTGCGACAAGGTAAGTTTACATGGATTGAATAGAGCTGCAGAGAAGTTCGGATAGTATTTTTGATTCAATGGTGCTTTAAACTCTGCAGCTTTTATCTGTCTACTGAGCTCCTTTGTCTTCAATGTGCTGTTTTTGTCCCCCGATGTTCTCTAAAGCAACCCGTGAAACCTCCGAAGAACAACTGGATTCATAGTGAGCCTAATTTTACTAATAAGTGACTCCTGCACCGGATTTAAAGTATTTTTAATTAAGCAAATAAAGTCATTTCCTATCCAAAAAGTCAACCCCAAAAACGGAGACTGTAAAAGTTTGCAAAATCCGTCACTACGCGCTCAGAGAATCATTCAAAACATAAGATTCAGCAACAGCTGCATAGACCTGTTTGTGTCAGTAGATGGCAGTGTCGAAAAGCATTTAAACTCGTCTGTGAGCGGAGTATTCAAGAATACACATGGATGGATGGATGGATGGAAACAGTGTTTTGTGCATCATACATTACGCTTCAACCTCAGAAAAGAACATATATTTTTTCATTAGTTGGAGCGGTTATTTTGTTTATTACGTTATTTCACCTTTATGTTATTTCATGTTGAACCTCTTTGACTCAACCCCGCTCTCTACCCTAAATGATACCGAGTTTGCATATTTCTGTTTCAAACAAAGGCTATAATTTTTTTAAACCATGAACACCACGCTGCTACTTTTCTGAAGCTAACAAAAGGGTGTTTTATCAAATCTGTGGATTGCTGGTATGCTGAAAACAAAATATCCTAAGGAAGATTAAGATATTTCAACTTTAGCATCATATCTAGTTCAACTCCTAAAATTCTGCTGTGGCTTTTGGTTCGGTTATCTTAAAATGAACCCAATCTCAAGCCAAAGGTTTCCAGAACTTTGGAAAACGTTCTGTTAGAGCCTTTGCGAAAGGCGCAGACTAAAAAGTAATAGACCTTTCGAGAAAAATATGTGTAAAAAGGCAGCCAAGAAGAATGTGTAAGATTTAAATAATTAAATTTTCAGATGTGGGAGATACTTGATTGGTCATAATTCACAAACGGAATAAAAGTCCAAGAGTTTATAGGCTTTTTATTATTATGTTTTTTTTTTTGTTTGTTTTTTTTTTTGTTTTTTTTTTGTTTTTTTTGTTTTTTTTTTTGTTAATAAAGTTACGACAGACTGATTCCCTAAATGAGTTCTGCACAAACTAGAATTCCTCTTGTCCGGCAGGAGAACGGGAGAAGAAAAAAATAACTCTGGAGCTGTCCACTCGCGTGTGGTGCTGAAAAGATACGTTTCCATAATTAATCTGTGTACATCTCGCTTACGTTTTGTTGTTATATTCTTAACTACAAGTTTGTTTTTATCTCGTATATATCCATTAAAAGTTGCCTCAAATAATCAATTATGTTTGCTGCTGTATAAGATGTTTTAACTTCTAAACAAAAAAAAAAATATATATATATATATATATGTAAGAAAAACAAATGCTCCTGAAAACGCATCTGCAGCTCTGCTTTGATGCGACTGACTGGACAGCAGTGCGCACTCGGGATTTTGTGTTTAATTAGCATAAAAGATCTGCTGGAGAGCAGCAGGACGGTGCGTCACAGCCATGGACCAAGATGGGAGGGGGCGGGGGGATACCTATGGGAGTCAACAAGCAGCTGTGTGTATTCCTTCCATCAGCCGACAAAAGCCGAACCCGGATGATGTGAAATGATGACTTAGCTCAGCGTGTTACAGGTGGCTGGAGACAGCTGGGTGCGACCGGGAGCCGGCGAGGCGCAGCAGCAAAAAACGGACCGCCGATAGAGCCACTGCGCTCCGGATGAAACCCTCAACTTGTGAGTCTTGGAGTCCGGATCCCGCGCGTCACCTGACGGGATGTGAGGCTATGAAGCAACAAGAGGGAATGGTGATAAAACGAGTCCAAGTCACGGAAGTGGAAGAAGGCGTCCGAGGAAAGGACAGTGCAAGGGAAAGAGAAGAGGTAAAGGAGCGGAAAGTTATTTAGTTCATCGGGGAAGCAGAGGCAGAGCAGATGTGCGTAATTCTGTAAAAACGAACTCGGGGAGAAGAATTTATACATCAAAAAAAAGAGAAGAAGAAAAAAAATCATGGAGCCAGAGGGGATCACGGAGGAGCAAGCTACTAATGTGGCACAATCTGCCGCCTCAAAACTGTCCCAGATGGGCGAAAGAACTAAACAGCTGGGCAACGTTATCCAAGACCCAGAACGACAGAAACGCGTAATTCTCGTAATAGTGTGTGTTGCACTTTTATTAGACAACATGCTTTACATGGTAATTGTGCCAATTATACCCGATTATCTGGAAGGGTTGCAGAAAGCAGCGGATCAGGAACAGCCAGCTGCTGCGCCGCACACCAACTCCACCAACAGCACCATCCACAGAGCGGCCGAGGGGAACTTCGACCTGCAGATAGGCGTCCTGTTCGCCTCCAAGGCCATCCTGCAGCTGCTGGTGAACCCGCTGAGCGGCACCTTCATAGACAGGGTGGGCTACGACATCCCGCTGTTCATTGGGCTCAACATAATGTTCCTCTCCACCCTCACGTTCGCCTTCGCTGAGAACTACGCGACCCTGTTCCTGGCGCGCAGCATCCAGGGCCTCGGCTCGGCTTTCGCGGACACCTCAGGCATCGCTCTCATCGCGGACAAGTTCACGGAGGAGTCTGAGAGAAGCAAAGCCCTGGGCATCGCCTTGGCTTTCATCTCTTTCGGAAGTTTGGTCGCACCGCCCTTCGGAGGGGTCCTGTATGAGTTTGCGGGAAAGCAGGCGCCTTTTCTGATCCTGGCCTGCATCTGCCTCACCGATGGAGTCCTGTGTCTGGCTGTGCTCAAGCCCTTCTCCAACAGGGAGAGGGAAAACATGCCCGTGGGGACCCCGATCTACAAGCTGATGATTGACCCATACATAGCTGTGGTGGGGGGAGCTCTGATCGTCTGCAACATACCACTCGCCTTCCTGGAGCCAACCATCGCAAACTGGATGGAGGAAAACATGAACGCCAGCGAGTGGGAGATCGGCATGACTTGGTTCCCTGCGTTCTTCCCGCATGTGTTAGGGGTGTATCTCACTGTGAAACTTGCAGCCAAGTACCCTCACCTGCAGTGGTTCTACGGGGCCATAGGCATGGTGTTCATAGGGGCCAGCTCCTGCACGGTGCCGGCCTGCAAGAACTTCGGGCAGCTCATGATCCCGCTGTGCGGCATCTGCTTCGGCATCGCCTTCGTGGACACGGCGCTCCTGCCCACGCTGGGCTTCCTCGTAGATGTGCGCCACGTCTCAGTGTACGGCAGCGTGTACGCCATAGCGGACATCTCCTACTGCGTCGCCTACGCCCTGGGGCCCGTCGTAGCCGGTCAGATCGTGCACGACTTGGGCTTCGTTCAGCTGAACTTGGGCATGGGGCTCGCCAACGTCCTTTACGCGCCGGCGCTGCTTCTCCTGAAGAACGTGACGCAGATTAAGACTTCTTTCTCAGAGCGCAACATGCTGCTGGAGGACGGCCCCACGGGTCTGTACGACACGATTAAGATGGAACAACGGGAGAAGAAGAGAAAAGGTCTGTGCACAACTATTGATGAGAGCGGCATCGAGACTTTTGTCCAGCGCTCGCACTCGGAGGAGGAATCATCAGGAGGAGAGTACGCGTAAAAAAAAGAAAGAAAGAAATTAATATAAAAAAATAAAGACCTTTAAGCTGTATGTGAAATTTAAAAAAAGTGCCAATGTGTGTATACGTTTTGATTAAGATTGTGAAAATATATCAGCGTGCAACGATACCTGTGGGTTTGTCCAATCAAGTGGTCGCAACTTTGTTTTACAATGGGAATTTAGTAAAAATGAAAAAAAAATACAAAATGATGAGATTAATGTCTGTTCATCTTCTGGTCACTGTAACAGATTCTGACTCTTCAGGGAATATAGTGCAAACGTGTTTTAAGGAAATGTAATGTATGCGTCTTTTAAATGCCACCTATAATCATGTTGCTTATGAATGAAATATGCAAACTAACGTGTTGAAGGGCAGAAGTACGGGAATTACCTGGAAATCTGCCTCTTGTGGAGTATTTACACTCTAATTTTAAATGAATTATGTGCTTCTGGAATGCAAAGCCTGAAATGATCTGTGACTGTACATACATGTATATTCATGTACATAATTAAAAGAACAATATGCGAACAATACCGATGTTTTATGTCGTTTATTTGCGCAGTAACCTCGATTATTATACAGTGTGCTATATTATCAATTCCTTCAAGTCAAGAGGTAGCAAATGTTTTTTTCTAAAAAACATACAAAAAATGTAAAACATGAAGGCATTTAAGGGTTGTATTTTTGCAGACATTTCAAAAATATATATAAACTATAATCATACAGTAAAATAAAAATTCCTCTTATAAAAATGACTAATTGAAGTTTTTAGTAATTTAAGAAATTTTAATTTTTGATGTTGAAAATGCAAATCTTTTCTTAGTAAGAAACAGTTCCATGCAAATAGTGAGGGAAAAAACTGGGAAGTGTCTGATGAAAAGGTGTTAAGATCTCAGTTGCTGGTTGTTGCCTAAATAAGGTGGAGTGACAATCAGAGTTGCCAAACAAAGTTCTCGGCGAATAGCAGGACTTCTGGGAGGAGCCAGGCTGCCTGGAGGCTGAGGGATCCTCTCAGCATCTCTCTTGAGCCAGCAACGGAGTTGTACTGATGCCGTGAAAGGGAGGAGAAAAGATGCTCAAATTGACAAAGGACAGAAATTGAGAAATTTGGAGGATTTTTCTTCTTCTTCTTCTTCTTCTTCTTCTTCTTCTTCTTCTTCTTCTTCTTCTTCTTCTTCTTCTTCTTCTTCTTCTATTCCACAAAAGACTTCTAGTTATGATGCATCGTCATGAATTCACTGTCTCAGCTTCAGGAAGAGTAAAATTTTCTTACTGTATGTGAGGTGAGTAAAATATTTTATCTCTATTTTAGTTGAAAGAAGACAAATATTAACGATTAAGATTTTGTTGATTTAATTTATTTTTATTAGTTAATTTTTCATTTCACAATTCACCTTATTCAGGTGATATTTTTTAACATTACTATGAAAAGGCCAATGTTTTATAAAGGAAAATTACACTATTTTATAGATATATATACATTACTTTACATTGTGTGACAAAATTGTTCGTATGTTGCTCTACTTTCGTAAAACTAAGACTTAGGTAAATCTCAAAGACCTTCAACCTCTCGATGACCCTTCTTGGTTTTACACACAAAAGGTGTAAAACAATTCAACATATGTGTTACTTCTTCCTTCTACTTTAAAGACTGACACCTGAAATGCAGTCTGCTGAACATTTTTGGTTGCTTATTTATACAGAAGCACCATGATAAAGAAAAAAGAAGTGTTTTAAAAAGCCAAATGAAAGAATAGAAATGCAAATAAGATAATTTACATTAAAACAATGGACGCAATAAAGGTTTTCTCCCTGCAATAGTATTGTTTTATAAAAGCATCATTACATACTACACCTTCAAAATGTAGTCATAAATGGAAAATTTAAACTCTCATGTCTCTACCTTCTCGACAGTCACAGCGTGTCACCAAGATGCCAATCCGGAACCAGGAGTCTTTCAAAGATTCTGCTAGCGGAGATGTAAATATGGCTTTTAGTTCCGTTTAAATGCGAATGAAACAAAAAACTTGCAAAATAACATGTTGACTAATGCCTGAGAAATCTCATAGTTATTGAAGTTAAATAAGGAAAAGGAAAAAAAAATGTAAATTGTGTTGTCAGACAGAATAAACTAGGAAATTTTTTTTGATGAAATGAGTGATTGATTAAGCTATTTAGTTTCAAGTTTTTATGGGTCATGTGTTGCTAAAGCTCACCGACTCAAATATGTTGCCCAGGCTCTGCCAAAGCTGCCGTTGCCCAGCCTCAGTGAGACTCTGGACACATACCTGAGATGCATGAAGCACCTGCTCACTGAAGAACAATTCAACAAGACCCAGAACATCGTGAAGCAATTTGGAGCTCCTGGAGGAGTGGGAGAGCTGCTGCAGAGCAAACTTGTGGAGAGGAGGGAGAAAAAGGCAAACTGGGTAAATACAACTTTTTTATATATATAAAGAATTGGAAGTAATGTACTTAAAGATTTAGAAATCTAAAAAGATTTACTGAAAGATTCGTTTATCGACACAACAGCACTTGAATAACTTATAGCCAACTCAAAAGAAGTTTTAACCAAATTTTTATGATAATTGAAGGCACATCTCTGTAAATTCCTATCTGATTATTTCAATAATCCAGATTAAAAAAGGATCATGTTTTATACATATTCAAAGCAGAGAGATAGATTTCAAGTGTTACATTTCTGTTGAAATTCAACATTTAAGGTTTATTTTGAGTAAGGTTATTTGATATTAGACCAATGAAAACTTATTTTCAATACAAAAATGTCAGTCTACTGAAAAGCAGAGCGACTTGACTCAAAACTTATTCTGAGCTCATTTTGTATGAATTACAGCAATAATGGAGAGTAGAGGAGATCAACCTGTGACTCTGCTCAAGGTCTTATGGAAGCACAGGTTGCCTTTGACGTTGCCTGCATTTCTTCCTTCCACTCAACTTTAGTTGTCCTTGTCCACAGTCTTCTGTGAACAGATTGCTTCATCAGGAATTAACATTTGTGCCTTAAGCTCCTTTTGGAAGACATCATTCACCATCTGCTGGACAACAGTCACAGCAATTAGTGTTCCTCTTGATTGTATGGCCACATTTCCACGTTTTCTGTATTAAAAATGAAGCTTTGTTGCTCTTATGTAATCCGATAAATTTCATTATTTTTCTTAGCTGACATCCATTATCAACAAAAAAAATGTGTCAGAAATAAGAAATATTGAAATATTTTACTGTGTGTTTTGCATTGATGCATCTTGTTTCACTTCTTTAATGTCTGAACTAAATTAATGTTCCGCTTTGAGATGCAACTGTGCTTCTATTCACATTTAGATGTCTTTTTTGTACTTTCTTCTTTTGTTTGTTTGTTGTTTATTTCATGCAAAACCTTCCAGGTTTATGATTACTGGCTGAACGACATGTACCTGAACAACAGACTGGCTCTGCCCGTCAACTCGAGCCCTGCAATGGTTTTTCCCCAACAGAACTTCAAAGCTCCCATCGACTCTTTAAGGTTTGAAACAAATGAAACCATTTTAAGGACAGGATTTAATGTGCATGCGGTCTGAGCTTTGAAACAAAGCATGGTTTCTGTTTCTAGGTTTGCTGCACACTTGATTTCAGGGGTTTTGGAGTACAAGACTCTTCTTGATGCGTAAGTCACCATGAAATTATCCAGTTCAGAAAAAAATACTGAATGACAGTCATAGGCATGCGTTCCCATGTGTAGTCGTGCCCTGCCTGTGGATTACGCCCGGGGCCAGTTGTCTGGTAAACCCCTGTGCATGGAGCAGTACTACCGCCTCTTTACGTCATATCGCCTACCGGGGCCTGACAGGGACACACTGGTGGCCCAGGAGAGCAGCGTGATGCCAGAGCCTGAACACATCATTGTGGCTTGTAAGAACCAGGTGAGACACAAAGAAACACATAAGTACATTTATTAAACAGCAATTGCATTAAACCTAATCCAAAGAAAGAATCTTGGTGGTCTGAGTGGAGAAGCAGGACAGAAGCTTGATAAAAATGATTTAGAGTAAAACGAGATCTATTAATATTATTATTGTATCTAGTGTGATAGTCGTTGGGTTATCAGCTTACAGGTTCATGTTTAATAATGTCAGAAGCCCAAAAGATCTGTTTGCTACTTAACTGAACATCTCCAAGGACCAACAAGGTTTCTTTGATCTTGATGGTAGAATTACAAGATGAAATTTAAAGATTGGTTTAGGGCAGAGGTGTCAAACTCCAGTCCTGGAGGGCCACTGTCCTGCAACCTTTAGATGTGCCTCTGCTGCACCACACCTGAATAGAATAATTAGATCATTAGCAAGGACCCTTGCTAATGACCTAACTTATCTACATAAGAAGGAGGTAATTAAGCCATTAGATTCCGGTGTTTTGTACCTGTGGCACATCTCAAAACTGCAGGACATTGGCCCTTGAGGACTGGAGTTTGACACCTCTGGTTTAGGGAGTAAAATGGATCATTTTTATCTGTGGATTGGCTGCAGCCTCTAGCCTTAAAGTTCAGAGAGTCTTTGAGATGTAGAAAATACTTTTTGAGAGAAACAAGAACAGTCAAACAGCTGGGGTGTTTGATATAAATATATTCAAGACATAATTTCTTGAAAGAATAATGTCACCAAATAGATTCAATAAAATTACTTGGATTTTGCACTCTTTTAATTTGTGTGTTGTGTTCATGATACAGAAACCCATCAGCTTGATATGAAGGAGACTGCAGATGAGCCAGTGAGTTAAAAAAAAATCTTCTTATGTCTCATCTGAACCTCTTGCAGTTCTTCGTTCTGGATGTGGTGATCAATTTTAGGAGACTGAATGAAAAAGATCTGCTGACTCAGCTGGAAAAGATATCCAAGATGGCTAGCAGTGAGGATGAGCCTGTTCCACCTATCGGTCTTCTCACGTCAGATGGACGGACAGAGTGGGCGGAGGCTCGCAGTGTACTAATGAGAGGTGCATTTTTTTTTTTTTTTTTTTTTTTTTTTTTTAAAAAATTTTATTTTTTTTTTAAAAAATTTTTTTTTCCAACAATTAT